TTCTCGCCATTAATTTTAGATATCTTGTTCCATTGTCCCTGGGTTTCTTAACACCCACTTTCTTTCTCCCTCCTCTCCCACTCCCACGTCCCCCCGGAACGGTCAGTCCTGTTGTTTTTTCCTCTGAATTGTTTATCACACCTATCTTATCTAGGTAGACATGCAGAGACAATAAGTCCAAAAACATATACTTGGGTTCCTTTTGCCTTTGAATTTTTGACCCTTTAAAATGGTAGAATAGTGTAGTAATGATAGATGTTTCAGGTACCATCCACTAGCTTCCACAGGCATCTAAAACGGGCAGCCTTAGTACCAGGAACATGATCCAGCGTCGACAAATATAAAATATCCGAATTTCCATGTTCCTTTTCACTTCTGGCACCAGCGCCCACACAGGACTGCTTTCTCTGATTCTCAGCTTTCTCTGATTCTCACTCAAACTCACCATCACTGAGTCTGTTCCAACTCACAGCAACCTTATGGGGCAGAGAAGAACTGATCCTGTGGACTTGCGATTCTGTCAGTCTTTACCAGAGTAGAAATCCTCACCTTCCCTCTCTGACCCTATCCACCTAGAACTAGGTCCGATCTACAAAGTTCAAAGGTATTGTATTTCAGATTTCTTGTGGACACATTCTAGGTTCAAGTTGGAGAGTCCACACAACACCCTCCCTTGCCTGCTGGCTACAAATTTGGAGAGTCCCCTTTCCCTTCAGGATGTCCTCCACAAACTTGGTAGCTTTTCTTGAGCTCCATGGAAAAACCACATGGAGGCTACACCTGACCTCCCCTGGATTAAGTAAGGAGAAGGAAAATCCAACTCTGCCCCAAAACAAGGCCAAATCCATTGCACACCTGAAGATACACTCAGGGGAGAAACCACATGTGTGTAATTATTGTGGGCGAGCCTTTACCTACAAATCATATTGCATCATACACCTGAAGATACGCTAGGGAGAAACCACATGTGTAAGGAATGTGTGTGAGGTTTCACAAGTAAATCAGGTCTGATCAGACATCTGGGGATACACTTGGGAGAAACCGCATGTGTGCAAGGAATGTGGGCAAAGTTTTTCATGCAAGTCATATCTCAACACACCTGAGGATACACTCAGGGGAGAAACCACATATGCAAGGAATGTGGGCGAGGTTTTTCATGCAAGGCATATCTCAACACCTGAGGATACACTCAGGGGAAAAACAACATGTATGTAAGGAATGTGGGCGAGGCTTTACCTGAAAATCAGGTGTCATCATATACCTGAGGATATACTCGGGAGAAACCACATGTGTGCAAGGAATATGGGCAAGGCTTTAGCCATAAGTCAACTCTCATCAGATACCAAAAGAGACACTCAGGTGAGAAACCTTATGTGTGTGAGGAATATTGCTGAGGTTTTAGCCAAAAGTCACATCTCATATACCAGAGGATACACTCGGGGGAGAAACCACATGTGGGCAAGTGTGGGAAAGTGTGGATTTCTCCCAAGTTGTCTCCCCCCAAATATATGCCAAACTTAGCTGCTTGGGAATGACTGTACACACGTGGAGGGCATCAAAAGCAGCTCAGGGTTATTCTCCCTAAGGGTTATCAGCCCTCTAGACCAAGCAGACACCAGTTTATCCCACAACAAATAGGGCCCACTCCCTTCTGATACGGATAGTAGTTGTCTGTTTCCTTGTAGGAGACCCCAGAGAGGTCAAACCCGCCCTAGGATGACCAAGGTTAGGCTGCCATCATGAATCTTGTCACACGTATACCCCTAGACCTTCCCATTCTTTTTTTTTTCTTTTTTTTCCGAGAGACACCTTCATTTTGAAAAGTTTTTGAAAGCTTTCCATATGCTTGAAAGCATCTAATAAGAAAGCCTGGCACACTACAGTTGTTCAAATACTGCTCTTTCTCTTCCGTCCCTTTCTTGAAGTCCATAGATTTAAGGTTTTGCAAACTCCTTAAAAGTGCATGCAAGATTTTGTGTAGATGTGTAAGGGTATTTTTCTTGGAATGAACGTCCACAGTTGAACAGTTCATCCTGCAGGACCTTCCCAT